TACACTCTTATAAGCTTCACAATGCACAGATGCACATTGGAAACTTAACTGTGAGGCATGCAACTTGATTGACCTTTACCTTGCCCTAGTTAATCTGATTTGATGAACCTAATGGATGAATACTTTTGGCATGAATTCAAAAAAAAAAAAAAAAAAAAAAAAAAAAAAAAAAAAAAATTTGAGAAAGAAAGAAAAAAATGACCAGTTGACGTTCGTAGCCTTTCCAACTCGAGCTATTAAGCCCTAGGAGTGTCTCTACACTTAGCACCCTAAAGCCATCTGGTTTGGGAGTTGTTGGCCTAACGCTTGTTACAAGGGTTAGTTAGAAAGCTTAAGGGACTTAAACATTGCACGGTCATTCAAAAAAAATTTAACTAGTAATAAACATGGTTCGTTGGAGTTCGTAGCCTTTCCAACTTGAGCTATTAAGCCCTATGGAGTGTCTCTACACTTAGCACCCTAAAGCCATCTGGTTTGGGAGTTGTTGGCCTAACGCTTGCTACATAAGTTGGTTAGAAAGCTTAATGGACTTCAGCATTGCACAACCATTCTATGTTTCGCTTATGTGTTGAAATAAATTGTTAACAAGCAACAAAAGTTGTCTTGAAAATAAAATCATGCCTTAGGGACTTCATGTAAAAGGGAATTCATTGATTTGAAAACTTGTGCCTTGGAATTGGACAAGAAAGTAAAAGCCGCATGTGAGAATCCAATTCACTTTCACTGGAGTTTGAGTTATTTCCATTTAAGAGATGACAATTGAATTATTTATATGGACTATGATGTTGATGCATGCATGTTGAAATGGTTTTTCCCATTTTTTGTATCAATGCTTCATATATGCAAGGTAGTTTTCCCAATGACCCCATCTCCAGTTTTTGTCTGTTTCAAGTTGTATTTGAGCTATGTTTCTATCTCATTTTACCATGGATGATATTTTTGTAGTAGCATGCCCATGGTTGTCTTTTCTTTATGTTTTTCATTGTAGTTTTGCTAAGGGACTAGCAAAATGTAAGTTTGGGGGTGTGATAAGCGCCGAATATTGTATATTCAAGCGCCCTAAATTACATTAACAAAGTCCAGTTATTAATTATTTTATGTATATTAACTCCATTTGCATGTTTTTATGCATTTTCAGGTTCATTGGCCAAAATGGAACAAGAATAAGGCCTTGTGGAATTTTGAGCAGCAAAAGGTGCCAATGCTGAATTCTGGCAGCAGTAGAGCCTGGACTTTGCTTGCCATTTTGACCTTCCAAACTCGAGAACTGGACTTCCCTCATAACATGAAAGATTTAGAGCTCCGAATCAGATTTCCAAATCTTCAAGTGGTTCATCATTCGGAGTTCGGAGCAGAGAGTTATGATCTTCACAACAGAGGTGCGCAGAACTGCCTAGCAGCACTGATGTACTGCCTTTCTCCCCATTTTCGACCAACCAGACTTGAGAATTGGGTCTTCATCAAAACATGAAGTTTTTAAAGCACTGAATCAGCTCTCCAAATCTTCAAACAGATCGTCATTCGGAGTTCGGGGCACAAAGTTATAGCAGTTTTCCCAAAATAGGTCAGCGCTGAGCAAGAGGAGCATGTTGCACATTGCACTAAGTTAGAGTGCTCGAGATCACCAAGCGTGCGCTCGAAAATCAGGCAGAATGCCCTTCGGAAATGGCTCATTTCAGCCCACTTGCACATTGGTTTTCTCAATGCCATCTTCCTTCTTTATGAAGTGGTTGGAGGTGTTCCTTGGAGGAGAGAGGGTATTGTTGGAGCATAAAAGGCTACCCAAAGGCCACATATGAAAGGAGCTTCATCTTTAGCAAGATAGAGGAGAGAGAAGAGAGCAAGGAGAAGGGTGTTCTTGAGTGTTACAGTAGGAGCTCGAAAATGGAGATGAGGATGATGCTTCTTCCTTCTTCTAGCTCACCAATGGGCAACTAAACCTCATCTAGGGAGGTGATGAAACCCCTCCCTTGTAAGCATGTGTTAGTATAGTTTATTTTTGGGGATTACAATGTATTTTTGATAGTCTTTCCATGGTCAAGAGCCTCATTTTTGTTGTAATGAATGTTGAATGTTTTAAATGATTATTGTGAGTTATTCATCTTGTCTTGGATGGTTGCTTTTCTTAATCATATTGCTTGCACTTCCATGGTGACAATGGAAGTTAGATCATGGAATGGTTTTAATGGCATGGAGTTGGAGAACCTAGATAGTTCATGGCTTAGGGTTTCCCCTTTGATGGGCTATACTTGATTCTTAGCTTTATGTGCATTCACCATTTAAATTAGGGCTTGATAATCCTTGGCTTAGTAAGCATGTTCTAAGCTACATTTTAGTTTAGGTAGTTGATCATGTGAACCTTTGATGGTTTATTCTTGCCTTTCTAATTAAATGAACTTCTTAAGGATATTATAGCAACCTAGTATTGTTATGTATCATGACTTTCATATATGTTGTTTTCCCCTTAAATTAATCTTAACCTAGCATGTGTATAGGGATGGAGGTGGATTCATTTCCCTAGCCTTCTTTACTTGTACTTCACTCCCTTGAATTCTTGTAATTTATTGTTTTATGCATTTTTAATTTCCTAGCTTAAGTGACATCCAACAAAACCTCTATACACCCTTCATCATTCTAAGAATGATTCTAGACATTTAGGTTGTATTAGACTAGCGCAGTCCCTGTGGTTCGACTTACCCGACCAATAGCCCTATTTTACAATGATTCGTGCTATTGCGAAGGTTGATGTTAATTGACCAACCGATCACTACATAGGTTGGTTAGAAAGCTTAAGGGACTTTAGCATTGCACAACCATTCTATGTTTCGCTTATGAGTTGAAATAAATTGTTAACAAGCAACAAAGGTTGTCTTATAAATAAAATCATGCCTTAGGGACCTCATTTAAAGGGGAATTCAATGATTTGAAAACTTGTGCTTTGGAATTGGAAAAGAAAGTAAAAGCCGCATGTTGAGAATCCAATTCACTTTCACTGGAGTTTGAGTTATTTCCATTTAAGAGATGACAATTGAATTATTTATATGGACTATGATGTTGATGCATGCATGTTGAAATGGTTTTTCCCATTTTTTGTATCAATACTTCATATATGCAAGGTAGTTTTCCCAATGACCCCATCTCCAGTTTTTGTCTGTTTCAAGTTGTATTTGAGCTATGTATCTATCTTATTTTACCATGGATGATATTTTTGTAGTAGCATGCCCATGGTTGTCTTTTCATTATGTTTTTCATTGTAGTTTTGCTAAGGGACTAGCAAAATGTAAGTTTGGGGGTGTGATAAGCGCCGAATATTGTATATTCAAGCGCCCTAAAGTACATTAACAAAGTCCATTAATTGATTATTTTATGTAGATTAACTCCATTTGCATGTTTTTATGCATTTTCAGGTTAAAGTGCAAAAAGGAAGCAAAAATGATGCCTTGTGGAATTTTGAACAAAAAGGATGCCATTTCTGAATTTCTGGCAGCAGTGATCCTGACTTTTGTCACCATTTTCGACCTAGCAAACTCAAGAACTGGACTTCCCTCATAACATGAAAGATTTAGAGCTCTGAATCAGCCCTCCAAATCTTCAAACAGATCATCATTCGGAGTTCGGGGCACAAAGTTATAGCAGTTTTACCAAAATAGGTCAGCGCTGAGCAAGAGGAGCATGTTGCACATTGCACTAAGTTAGAGTGCTCGAGATCATTTTGCGAGTGCTCGAAAATCAGGCAGATTGCACTCGGAAATGGCTCAATTTCAGCCACTTGCACATTGGTTTCCTCAATGCCATCTTCCTTCTTTATGAAGTGGTTGGAGGTGTTCCTTGGAGGAGAGAGAGAGGGTGTTGTTGGAGAATAAAAGGCTACCAAAGGCCACACATTGGGGGGGGGGGGGGATATTCTAGCAAGATAGAGGAGAGAGAAGAGAGCAAGAAAGGAAGGTGTTCTTGAAGCTAACAAAGGGGAGCTCGAAAATTGGAGATGGAGTTCAAGCTTCTTCTTCATTCTAAGGCTCCAATGGGTAACTAACTCTTCTTCTAGGGAGGTGATAAAACCCCTCCCTTGTAAGCATGTGTTAGTATAGTTTATTTTTGGGGATTACAATGTATTTTTGATAGTCTTTCCATGGTCAAGAGACTCATTTTTGTTGTAATGAATGTTGAATATTTATAAATGATTATTGTGAGTTATTCATCTTGTCTTGGATGGTTACTTTTCGTAATCATATTGCTTGCACTTCCATGGTGACAATGGAAGTTAGATCATGGAATGGTTTCAATGGCATGGAGTTGGAGAACCTAGATAGTTCATGGCTTAGGGTTTCCCTTTGATGGTCTATACTTGATTCTTTGCTTTATGTGCATTCACCATTTAAATTAGGGCTTGATAATCCTTGACTTAGTAAGCATGTTCTAAGCTACATTTTAGTTTAGGTAGTTGATCATGTGAACCTTTGATGGTTTATTCTTGCCTTCCTATTTAAATGAACTTCTTGAGGATATTATAGCAACCTAGTATTGTTATGTATCATGACTATCATATATGTTGTTTTTCCCTTAAATTAATCTTAACCTAGCATGTGTATAGGGATGGAGGTGGATTCATTTCCCTAGCCTTCTTTACTTGTACTTCACTCCCTTGAATTCTTGCAATTTATTGTTTTATGCACTTCAATTACTAGCTTAGTGACAAACCAATCAAACAAACCCTTATTACCCCTTATCATTCTAAGAACAATTCTAGACTCTTAGGTTGCCATAGACTAGCGCAGTCCCAGTGGTTCGACTTACCCGACCAATAGCCCTATTTTACAATGATTCGTGCTATTGCGAAGGTTGATGTTTAATTGACCAACCGATCAAGTACTACTCTTTCGTCTTCTTTAGCCAATACAGAGGAGACCCATTTTTATTTACATGATAAAGGCCCTTCATGGATTGACTGTTTATGTTCTTGTTGCCTCTACAATGCATAAGCAATTATGCAACCTTCAAGTATGACTCAAGAATTCAGTAATGCACCTACTTTTGTATCCAAGTTGCGTTGCTTTGCAGATTCTAGGTTTAACAATTTGAATTCAGATGGGTGCGCTTCTGTATTGGCCAATTACTTATACTTCGATGGGTTTGGGGGTTGGGCTAGTGAAACAAGTCGAAGTTTGTTAGTTCATTTAGCTTGAATAGTCGAAGTGCTTCGAGAATTTGGAAATTCTTTATTGATTTCAATAGTGCCATTAAGTTTCATTGTGAGAAAATCCGACTTGGGTTCGCCTCTGTCAAAGTCGGTTCTGGGAATAATAATGGATTGGGCGAAGATGGCTGTGGTGTTTTGGAGGATTGTGGATTGCCCTTGAATGGAGTGGGGTCCAAGAGTCTGAAAAAGGTGCTTATTTTGATGAGTGACACTGGTGGTGGTCACCGGGCTTCTGTAGAAGCCATTAAAGCCGCATTTAACGAAGAATTTGGTGATGAGTATCAGGTTAATTTTGATGGATTAGTTACAATTAATTTTGAAAAAAGAATAAGTGGGTGTCTGTCTATAAATGTTGATTTTTGTTCTGTGCTTTTAAAGTGTGTGTGTTGCAGGTGTTTGTTACTGATTTGTGGACAAACCACACTCCTTGGTCGTTTAATCAATTGCCAAGAAGTTATAACGTCTTGGTGAAACATGGGTCTTTATGGAAAATGACATATTATGCTTCTACTCCGTGTCTGGTGCATCAATCCAATTATGCCGCAACATCGACATTTATAGCTCGGTGAGATAATTCTCTCATCTTTAGTTACATCACTCGTTTAATGTTACATGACGAGCCTATTTCCAAGTGTTTAGAAAATGGACTTTTTAATGGGAGAGGTCTCTTCGCAAGGTCAAAATATGAATGTGGTTTCGGAAGCCTTTCTAGTCAAATTTACATTTATATAAACCACTACTACAACTAATGAAGTATAGCGAGTAGGGATCGTCCGCAGGGATTATACGTGTTAGAATTTAACTTTGACTCTAATGTATCATAAGATTGCAAAAAGATTTGATGAGATGATTAAACTACTTCACTTAATAAAAATGCAATTAAAATAAAACTAAATTGAGATAGGGATTTAAGAGATATGAAGAAAGGTCTTGGGGTGCATTGGAATCACCACCAAGCTCGTTCACCAAACCACACACTTTCAACTAATTTGGGGAAAACATTCTTGTGAACAAAATGCAATTACCAATTGCAATATTAAGCATGGACCATCAAATTAAAGAATGAATTGTCTACCTAAACTAAGTGTAGCACAACCTATCAATTATAAGCATGACCCATCAAATTAATCACAATTGTAGCACACATCAATCTAGAGAATTATGGAATTTGCAATAATAAGCCATGGAATATCAAATCAAGTATAGATTGTCTACCTACCTATAAGCATGAATTAAATTGTAGAACAACCCATCAAGCACAAGAATAATCCATCAAATTAATTGACAAATCCATCTAATAAAAACCATGTCTAGCCATCACTAGATTCTCAATCAACCACACATAGACATGCAATTAATATAAAAAAAACTAGTGTAGAGATTAATTCCCAAACAATCACACATAAGATAACATGTAATCATATAGAGAATCAACAGAAAGAATTAATCCATAGAAATCAAAGGAGACCCAAGATTCATTAAATTCACATGGCTAAAACACTAATCACAAGATATTATTCCCCAAAAAGTATGAAAGAAATAGAGGTTTAGATTACAAACTTGGGGCTCATCCAAGCCCCAAGAAGAAGTCTAGCTAATCATGGAGGAGGTGGGTGTGGTCATGAAACCCTCAAGGGCAAGCTTCAACATGGCTCCACCTTCTTCTTCTTTTTCTTTGAAGCTCTAGAGAGAGTGTATGTATGGATCTAGAGATGTGTTATTGAGATGTGCCTTCACTTTCCTCTTTTATTCTAATCCTAATCTCTAACTTTCTAAAGAGAGAAACTAATGAAAATATAGAAATTACAATGAAATAAAATGAATCTCTCTACCAAAATGGTTGAATCCCTCTTATATACAAGGCTTTTAGAGCCCAAAAATGTGAGAACTCGGCCCTAGGATCTCCCCTTTCAAGCATACCCCAAGTTGGTTCGAAATGAGCTTTAGATATATTTTTTTATAACTTCTGCGAACAATTCGATCGATCCAACTTTTCTTCAATCGATCAGAGTTTGATCGATCCAACTTTTCTTCGATCGATCTCACTTGGCAATTTTCAGCATCAGCCTCCTTTTTACTCCAGATCAACCTCATTTTGCTCCAGATTCTCACCAGGACTTAGTTTGACTCTAAAAAGCCCTTAAGAAACCATTTTTAGTCCGTTTTAACATTATTGACCTGAAATAGACAAAAATATGAAATTAGACTAAAACGAGAAAATAAGATAGAATAAGATCCTAGAATTACTCAAGCTTAAAGGGTTTAAATGCGTACTTTTCAGCACTCATCATTACATTTCATTGGTATTGGGTTAATATCAAATGGTCAAATATTTGTTCATAAAATCTGCAATAAAGCTTTGTGTACTATTACATTGCAACAATTTTATCAGCTTATTAGGTTCCTTATGGAAATTATCTGGTCACAAATTCACAATCAATATGGGAGAACTCCCCCCACATCTCTACATTCCTAAATGAAAACTTTGATTTGAATTGATTGAGGAATTGAAAGACTCCTTAGGTGAAAGATTACTTAGGTGTTTAGTTTGGTTTATAATCTCTGTTATTTTCTTATATTTTGCTTGTACCATCTTGATGGGAGAGCTTGGGAGGATATATGACTTAATCCTCCTTGTTTTCGATGTCATATTTGCTAGAAATGTGTATGCCTTAGTGATTAAATTTTGGGTGCTTGGATGGAAGATACTAAGTCTTATGTGAGTAACTTTAGCAGAGAGTCATTTATTTATCAACCCTGTCATGACTCACTCACCTCGTTTAGATATTGTCCGCTTCGTTCACTCTCCTTGCGCTCACAGTTCACAATCACCCCCTGTTGACTCAGTGTTCTTGTTAGTATAACCTGCACAGGCTTATGCAACCCCCCCTTTCTAGTTGGGGATTAGCTCTGATATTATTTGTCATGACTCACACCCTACCCCCCGGATATTGTCCGCTTTGCACACTCTCTGTGCTCACAGTCTTCAAAAGGTGGATACACAGTTAAGAGGTGTCCACGCATATAAGTCTTAGTAACTTCTCCCCTCCAAGCAATGTGGGACATCACAAACTCTATGTCTCCATTTGATCTTGTATATGTAATTAATTCTAGTTTAGTATGAAATGTCAAACTTGTCGTAATACCATTTGAAAAGTTCTACTCATCTATAGATATATTAAAGCCTTTACCACTCAAATCATTAACCAAGTGCTACGTGTTTATTTGGAAGATTTTTCTTTATCCTGACATTACATGTCCACTTTTGCTCAGGCATTGGTTTCTTTGGAAGTAGTTAATGCATGGAAGTTCATTAACCAAAATGAAGTATAGGTGACAGTGAGTCAAAATTTTGTTTATTGTAGAGGAATTAGTTTGTGGAAGTCTTGAACCATAGTGCCAGACATTTGTTGTGGGCCATCAAACCTTATATTGCTAGCCTAATGCAGATATCTTTGGTTAAAATGCATATAACAATGTGTTTGGCAAGAGGCATATTTTAAAGTTTGTAGGACCGGAACCCGAAGCTCAGATAGAGAGTCGTGCAAAGTCTTAGACATAGAGTAGGAGTGAATAAGTCCGTGATCTAGACCTGGATGGGGAGCGAATAAGTCTTGCTGGTTGGTTTAACAAATTTCAAAATTTTCAATTTTATCCGAATTAACATAAATTCAAAATAAATTACTCCAGGCAGTAGTGTGTCCAAATTTCTTACACTGAGCACATAGCTTAGGAATCCAAACATATTCAACTTATATTTCAATTTGCTTATGATCATCTTTAATGTAGAAGTCAAAAGAAGAGTATGTGTTGGTTGCCCACTGTTATCATTTTGTTGATGGGAGATTGATCTAGGAGGTGCAGTTTGAGAGACTGTTCATGATTGGGAGGTAGAGGATATGGTTGAGTTTTTGGTGATGCTATATAGCCAGGTGATTTTTGAAGTGGGGATGGATGAGCGGACGTGGAAAGCCAGGGAAGATTTGAGGTATAATCCTTTTATTGTTAGCTGATGGATGCTCAGGGGCGTCTTTTCCATGGAAAGGAATTTGGTGCTAAACCCCCCAGCCCCCCCCCCCCCCCCCCCCCACCCACCCAAAAAAAAAAAAAAAAAAGGTTAAAGGTGGCCTTTTTTGGTTGGACATCAGCTTTGGGGAGAATTTTGAACATTGACAAGGCGGCTTCGGATTTTTGTCAATTGGTGTTGTATGTGCAAGAGGGATGAGAAGGCGGTGGGATCATCCCCTTCCACATTGCCCTACCGCAAAGGATGGATGGGATATGTTGTTTGCTATCTTTGGGATCCACCATGCCAGAGTTCGTGAGAAGTTTGATTGATGCTTGGGACAATTGCAGAGTGCGTTCCCAAGTTAGAGATGCATGGAGGACTGCCCCTATTTGTCTTTGGTGGGCCTTATGGAGAGAGAGGAATAGGAGATCCTTTGATGGGTGAAGTCTCTTTGGGGAGTGTTTATATTTCCTATCCTTAGTTCTCCATTCCTTTGGTTCTATGGCTCTAATTGTAATCCTTGGAGATTCCTTTAGCTTTTGTAGATAGCTTGAGGCTATAGGTTTTTGGTCAGCTTGTTCTGGGCCATGCTCTCCTTTTGGATGCTCTTTAACGAATACTTATCCAAGAATAAGAAAATATCAACTTCAATACAGATTTTTGGAAAATTCTGCCTTTGGACAAACTCGGTTATGGCCTGTCAATAGATCGGATCAACCATAATTCATATCCATTTGTTTAGCTAATGGATTATCGGATTGAGTGCTTCAATCCATATCCTAATTGACTCGGATTAAAATCTTATCGACTGGCTCTGGCATGTCTAGTTATAAGTTATTTTAAGCTTAAGTGGAGTGGAGGGTTGTTAATATATAAGATGGTGCATAATATAACTATGCAACAGGGACGGACCCAAAAAATTAGGTTGGGGGGTGGGGGGATAATGAATTTTTTTAGTTATTTCAGGGAGGCAATAGTAATATTTTATGGATGTATAATTAAAAAAACAAATTAACAAGGGTAAATTACTAAAAATAAAATTCCCCCCCCCCCCCCCCCCAAATGAATCTAAATTAATATACATAAGTTTAGTGGTAGATAACTAATTTATAAAACATACATATTTAGTATATTGGAATGTAAACATATATTTATATATATAATTTTATTCGGACCGGATTACCTGTAATCCATATCCGATTTGTTAAGCAAACGGATTATTCCGATCATTAGGACCTTCAATGTAGCTCCTCTGGTTAACTGCAATTTGGGGCGCCATATTTTTCAGCAAGATTAGGTAACAACCAACAAAATGCCAAGGGCCACCCTCCAAAACATGGATCAAAGAGATTTCAGATGAGAACTGAAAGAAAAAGAATCCAGGATTATTGGACAAAACATTCAAAAGATCATTATTGTTCCAAAGCTTTTTTGCAATATCAGAAACAAGGGAAAGGAGGTAATTGGCGACCTATGAAATATCCCGCCAAGGTATTCTTCCACCTAAAAGTACCAGGGGAACCAAGACCATTTGGAGCTCTTACAGCAATTCTGTCACCA